TTACCGTTCCGTCGACTTGTTGGATTCGTAAAGTCGACATTCCTCGATACCGCTCCGTCGACTTATTAGATTCCTAAAGTCGACATCTGCGTAGACTTATTGGATTCGTAAAGTCTACATTCTTGATTCCCGTTCCGTCGACTTGTTGGATTCGTAAAATCGACATTCCTTGATACCGCTCCGCCGATATATTGGATTCGTAAAGTCGGCATCCGCGTAGACTTATTGGATTCGTAAAGTCTACATCCTTGATTACCGTTCCGTCGACTTGTTGGATTCGTAAAGTCGACATTCCTCGATACCGCTCCGCCGACTTATTGGATTTGTAAAGTCGACATCCGCGTAGACTTATTGGATTCGTAAAGTCTACATCCTTGATTACTGATCCGCCGCCTTACTGGATTCGTAAGGTCAACCTCCGCGAAAACCGCGCCGCCATCCCGGGGAATCGATCCCCGCGGCACCGCATCGTAGCGCACGACCGCGCCGCAAAAATCCGACGCATCGCGCACGCAGGACCGTGTTATTCCTCAAGTAACGGTTTTCCTCGTGCGACCAAAATTAAAGATCCGAACGTCAACATCACGCCGCAAGCACAACACGATCGACGCGTCACACGACCGCCCGCGTCCCGCGACCGCCAGCGGCCCCGCAGCCCGAGCTCCGCCGCCGCGAACATCAACACGCGCGAACGCAAAGACCCGCGCGCTAAACCAACGGCGTCGAATCAACCTATAAATACTCATTGTACATAGCAATCTAATCGACAATATATGTCATTATAATATCCATCCCACTGTCTTCACTATTATTGACATCTGCTCGAATCCGGACCACACCGACTCGCAGCTTATCCCGCACCGAACGCGAAATAGCGTTACAATTATTTTGATGGTGTCTGGAATTGGGACCTGCGTGAATAAGGATGATACGTCCAGGATGTCGTTTGGTTGAAGTTGGATTCCTTTTATCTTCTGTATGAAATCCGTCTGACCGTGTAGGGGATGTTTTTACTGACAGGTTCCAGTTTACTAATTAAAAAGCGTGCTAGTTTGTATGTTGGGGAGTTTATGGTGCTCACTATAAGTCTGAATGGTATGTTGGTTTTGTTGATCTTGAGAAGGCCGTGTAATCTTGGAGGTGTTGCGTTTTTTTGGGGTTAGGATGGTTTTTGTTTTGTCGGGAGAGTACTATTTTTTATAAGGTTCGTTGTTTGGGTTTTTAAGGATTGGGTGGGGTCTTTCTTCAGTTTCTGGTAAATATCGTCTGTGATGAATTCTGTATTTTCTTGTCATAGTCTTCTTTGTTCATTATTATTGTTGTGTTACCTTTGTCCGCTGGAAGGATGATGTCCGTATCCTGGTTTAGTTGTCTTAAAGCGTACCGTTCTGGTCTGGTGAGGTTCTGTTTTGGTAATTTGGATTTCTGTAGTATGTTGGCTGTTAACTTATGGACATTGTTAGATTGTTCTTATGGGGATAGGAACAGGGAGGATTCTATCTGACTGATTATTTCTTCCTTTTGTATTTTAGTTGGAATTATTGCAAAGTTGATGCTTTGGGAAGGGCGGAAATGGTTTCTGAGGAAAAGGCTTTTTGTTGGATTTTTTAGGTTTTTTACTGTGTTTGGTGAAGGAGATGTAACTGTTTTTTTGTGGTGTTAGTTTGTGATATTTTTCTGTCTGTCGTTGGGATGACTGTACGTGTAAGTGTTTTGGGATTGTTCGTACGTTATGTGGTCCGGTGTGAGCCATAAGTCTAGTCGAAGGGTTGAGGCTAAGGAAAAGTGGAGTTGGAAAAGTTTTTGGGAAATTTTATCTTCATTTTAGTGTATGAGATGCGTTCCTTTGCAGGTTGCGGTTTTCTGCAGAATACTGTTTGCTTTCTTCGTACCTAAATGGTTTTTTAGTTGTAGGAACTTTGGGACGATATTGTTGTCCTTGCATCTTTTTAGAAAGGCTAGGGTTAAAATTTTGGTAGGGATGACCTGAGTTTAAAAGAGTTGACTTTAGCAAGAATACTCTCTCCGTGGAGGTATTTGATTTGATTTTTTGAGAGGATCCCCAATCTCTCCAGTCATAGCTAACATCTTCATGGCACATTTCAAATCTCAGGTCTTCCAAAAGTGCCAGTTGAAACCTCGAATATGGCTTCGATATGTAGATGACACTTTCGTCATCTGGCAACACGGAAAAGAAAAACTCCAGAAATTCTTACATGCGCTGAAGACACAACATCTTAACATTATTTTCACAATGGAAGTTGAACAAAACAACAGACTGCCTTTCCTGGATGTCCTAGGCACGAAAAGAACAAATGGCTTCCTGGGTCACCAAGTTTACAGGAAATCTACACACACTAACCGATATCTCCATGCCGAATTAGACTATCACTCAGCTCAAAAGCAATCGGTCCTCGATTTGCTAATACACAGAGCATTAGCCATCTGCGACAAGAACAGCATCCAAAGCGAACTCAAGAATCTCAGGAACACTTTTTAAAATAATGGCTACCCAGCAACACAGATAAACATCAAAAGAGAAGACATCATAAAACACACGGACTAAACAACTCCAGGGACAGACAAAAGAACGAAATTCCATCACTATCTTCCTTCCATATATACAGGGAATTACGGACAAAATTGGCAGAATCATGAAAAAATACAATATTAGAACCATCTACAAATCACCAACGAAAATAGGACTGTATCTAAGTCATAGAAGGACGATAGAAGGAGGAGGTACTAGGTGGCGGCGGGACGTTCGAGATCTGCGTATCTTTTTTGTTCCAGAGAGAGAAAAATATCGAGAATGCGGTTTTGCTAGGCCGGGACTCGGCCGGATCTTTCGCTTGCCGGGCAACTGCTCTAAACTACTGAGTTACCTAACGCTCCATTCTCACGATACTCTCCTCTCCCTAGATAACGCTCAGAGACGCCGTTCGGAAGCGACATCTCTGGTGCGATGCTAAGCGCACGGTGACTACAGAGAGAAACAATGTTACTGTACCCAAACCCAAAAGACAGAAGACCTCTACTAGACACTCCTGGAGTATATAATGTTTCCTACTCCTATGGCAAAGTCTATATAGAAGAAACTGTGAGGATGGTGAGCACATATATGAATCAATATGAAAGCGCAGTCAAACTGAAAAATATAACACAGTCAGCACTAGCGGAACACAATCTAGAAAGCGGACACAAAATCCTGTTCAACGAAATAACAATATTGGCCAAAACGAACAACTACTTCTTTAGGAAATACAGGGAATCCTTGGAAATTCAAAAGCACCTCAACAATCTCAACAGGGATAATGGACAAAAAATCAGTCCAATCTGGCAATCCGTCCTCCCGGTTTCCAAAACATGACAGACAAATTTCCTATCACCATCCCTCCTGCTACCCCCCCTCCTTCCTATCTCCTTTCCCATGTCCCCCTATACCAACTACTATATATATAAGGAAGACCTCTCAGGAGCGACTCGGCATCGGGTCATTCCTCCCTGATAAAGCGGACTGAAATGTTCGCGAAACGTCGGAATCAAGCAAAGATGAATCCACGCGGCTCAAACCCGGAAACCGAATCTAATATTACAAAGAAATTGTTGTGTTGAAAATTTATTTTAAAGCTGTCTTCTCAAGACGGTATTTAAAGCTGTCTTCTCAATAATGCTCTAGCCATCGTTTTAAATATGCCATATTCTAATGACTCACATTAACAAATACATTCAAATTTGAGCAATCTATTCACGAATTTAGTTTCCTTGAACTTTTCTCTTACAAAGTACACTATGCAACATTAAATTTTTTATAACAAACTATAAGATTTTTCAAATTATTGAACAGTTTGTAAAAATTGAGTGTTCTGGACTCCATATAAAACCGGATTTCAATATAAAATTGGTTATTATTAAGAAAACATTAAAATTAAAGTATCAACTTGTTAATATAGTTTAAGAAACGTGCAACGATGGATATAAGAAATTTATATAGAAAATGAAAAATATTTATTAGTTTAATATTTATAAATAATGTAGGATGTAATTTACACTCCACGCGCCTATTGGAGTTTCAAATTTTGACGCCCACGTTGGAGGGTTAAGGAATGTTGACCCAAGAAATCGATTAAGACTACTCAGGACCACATCGGTTTAGCCGTAATAGAGGAACGCTGAATTCCGTCCCCTTCTAACTAGTTCTTTCGCGAAAGATAATCACGGCCGCTCGGTCTTTGCGGTTGCGGTTGCGCACAAACTAGGCTCTCAAATCACGGCCGTGATTTTTTATCACGGCCGCTTAGTCTTTGCGGTTGCGCACTCAAAACTAGGCACTCAAAACACGGCCGTGATCTTTTATTTTAACAATATTCCATATACTTAGTACGCATCAATACGAAGTATTCCCAAAAAAAGTGACCAATTTAGTATTAACCATTACTAAATATTGCGCACTCAATACTATTTTTCTGTATTCATGAATTAAAAAAAAAAAGTAAAAAAGGAAGTCAAGTGCACGCGCCTTTGTATCTATAAAACAAAAATCGTTATAAATAAATTATAACAAAAGCTCAGCTAAAAGATATTTAAAAAAATATTAAAACAATCTTATTAAGATCAATTGTACTTTCGCGAATACTCTATTGAAAAAATACAAGATTTTATACTCTCTACAAAAGTAATGATATCAAGAAGTTTATGCCAAGTTTGGATGATTAATCATTTCAGTTTTTACTTTTATAAACATATGTAGTTTTGGCTATACAATATATTTATAAATTAAATGTATTATTAATATGTTAGTAATATATTATTAAATAAAAAATAAAATAATTATAGAAATACAATAATTTTTTAGGCTTTCGCGATATCCATGCATATTAGATTTGGTTTCCGGGCTTGAGCCGCGTGGATTCATCTTTGATTCCGACGTTTCGTGAACATTTCAGCCCGCTTCATCAGGGAGGAACGACCGATGCGGTTTTGTTGTAATTTATTTATAACAATTTCTTTTTTGTAAAGACAAATAATGCTAAGGCGTTTCCTTTTTTACTTTTTTTTTAAAGTAATTTGTTTTTATATCGCATCTTTTTTACAAAATAATATTAACACTGAGAACAAATTTCTTTGTTAATAACTTTATACGTTGAACTTGGACGTTGTAAATATTTAGGTCTACATACAAAGCAGGTTCTTTAAATTTTATTTCAGAATAATTCATTTTTACAAAAAATGTGTCTGTCTCTCCGTCTCTCCCTCTCTCTCTTATTATTTATTTTATAAATATATATGTATATATTTATTTATTATTTTATTATTTATGCTCCGACGTCTATACACCTATTTAATTTAATAAATTACGAGTCGGTAAATCGGTAATTGTAATATATATCTCCTTTCTTCTTTTTCACATTTTTATTCTCACCGTATTTATTTATCTTACTGTTTTTCTTCTAAAAGTTTAATATTTAGCTCTCTTTCTCCGTTTCTTTCCTTCCTCCTCACTCCTCCTTCCTCTCCTTTTTTCTTCCTTTTTCTTTTTCTCATATATAGTCTCTCTTTCGCTCTTTACAACACTGTCTTTTCCTTTCTTTTTTTTTTTTGTTAAGGCAGGGGAAATGCATTACGCACACCTCCCGGGGGTTGACGACCCTCCGGGAGGTAGTGTGGGACTCTTCCCCCCCGGAACTAACCGCCGGGGGAGGCCTACCCACTAAAACCCCTGCCGGATCCCTTCTTCGGCGGCCGTAACGAGGACGCCCGGGAAGCTTTTCGCATCCTTCCGGGGCGCCCTCAGCCGCCAGAGGCTCACGCCATCCTTTCCCGGGCCGGAGGGTAGGTGCCGCCAGGAACGGCGACCCCAACGACCCCCCAAACCGCCCCGTAGAGGTCCTGGGGGGTGGGGGGGTACACCCTTCGGCCTTTTCCGTCGCATAGCCGCGCGGCGCGGGATCCGTTTCCTCTTAGGAAAGGGCGGGCCCGGTTCGCCATCCGGTCACCCGCCCCCTGTACCATGAGTCCCGACCGACTTACAGGGGTCAGGAGCAGGCCTGCGGCGGCCCCTTCCCCCCCGCGGTCAGGACCTTCCTATCTCGGGAGCGGGGGGAGGCGGTAACGAGTGCGTCCGCAATGCCCCCCCCCCCGATGGAAGAGCGCGCACCGCCGCCGCTCTACCCCCTCTCTCCCGCCAGCCGCTCCAGGCGCCGCCACCGAGTCTTGGCGGCGCCTGTCGCGGACGGAGGGACTGGAGCCGCCGTCTGCGGCTTCTAGTGCCCTAGTGGCGGCCTCCCTCTTCTGGCGTCTCTCTACGCGCCGCCTCCTCCTCTGAGGAGGCGGCCCGACGGGCGCAGCTCCAGGGGGGGTTACAACCCTTCCCGCCACGCCAGCTTGCGCCCTCCTTTCCAGTGCCGGCACACCTTGTTGGTGTGCGGGCCAAGGGCGGGGGGTACGGCGAACTCGCCGCTCCCCCCACAACCACTTCCCCCCGTCGGGCCCTCTCCTGTTCCTTCTTTCGCGACATAACTTTTTCGCAGAAGGAGGTAACAGCTGACCAGGCCTATTGTCCCCCTAACATGGCCCTAATGAGGGCCGGGGGCGAGAGGTCCGCTCCCACCACGCTTGTGAAGACACGGCGCCGTCCCTCTCACGCCGGGCATTCGCCCAGCGTGTGCTGCGCCGTGTCCTCAGCCGCACCGCAGTGGTGGCAGCGGCTGGTGCACTCCTTCCGGATGACCCTATGCAGGTACTCACCGAAGCAGCCATGGCCGGTGAGCACCTGGGACTGTCTCTTCCTGTCTAATAATGAAATATGATGGTAGCAATTTACTTTTTTGATGAATAACGAGTAATAATAATGAATTATTTTTAAAAATTAACCTTTCCTATTTTACAATTTTGCATCTCTTTATTTTCTATCTTCTTGCTTCGTTTCTATTTTCTATTACTTATCTGTATGCGTACTATATTCTCTCCTTATATTTTCTCTTTTTTTCTGACTTTCTATATTTTCTTTCTTTCTTTCTTCTTGCCCTGTTTAAAAATAATAAAAGTACAAACAACATGAAGAATATTCTAGTTCTGTATCCTTATAAATTATCCTATATTATATGAAGCAATACTTATTATTGCGGCAGACAAAAAAATTTATTTATTTATTAATTTATTTATTATCTATGCTTTTATTTATTCAGTCTCTTATTCACTGATATATTCCTCTTGTCTTTTCATCTCGCTCTTTTATGGTTTTTTTACCGTCTTATTATTTATCTTTATTTTTTCTGTCTCCTCTTCATTTCTTCTCGCACATTGTCTCCTTTCTCTCTTTCTTTTTTCTCATTTTCTTTTATTTCCTCTTTTATCTCCTTATTATTTAATTTAGTTACAAAAAGTAAAAACGACACAAAGTATTCAAGTATTACACCGTTATATATTTTTATACATTTGCCGATACTTATCTGATATTATCCTTGTTAATTCTATAGCTTTTCTTTAAAATTATCACGGTGAACACACTTCGCAACTTTTAAAACTATTATACATTGAAAATATAACCTCGTTATAACGCTATTCTCGTACGCGCGAACTGTTAATCAACTCCGCCGTGATGACAGTTACAAGTTGGTAAATCGGTAATCGTAACACTCTTGTCATTCCGCCATTTAACGAAGAACATAGTCAACGGACATATCTGTGGTGAAGAGACGTTTTTTACGCCTAAATTCACGATTTCAGACTTTGAGCTAAGATAGTTTAGCTTCTGAAGCATCCCAATCAAGAAAAAAATATTAAAAGAAATGTTAAAAAAATATTTTAAAATTATTTGGAAAATATTTTTAAAAACGTTTTTAAAAACGTTAAAAATAATGGGACAAGTCCTCTTTTTTTTTTATTAAAAAAAACGTTTATTTTAATGTTAAAAATAATGTTTTTAAAAAATAAAAATGTTAAAAATAATGCGACAAGTCCTCTTTTTTTTTTTTTAATAAAAGAGACGTTTATTTTAATGTTAAAAATAATGTTTTTTAACAATATAAAAACGTTTAAAAATTATTTTTTTCAAATGTTAAAAAAATGTTATTTTAAACATTAAAATAAACGTTTTGTAATGAAAAAAAGGATTTATCCCATTATTTTAACGTTTTTTATAAACGTTTATAAAAATGTTTCAAAATTATTTTCTTCAAATGTTAAAAAAATGTTTTTATAACGTTAAAAAAACATTTCAAACATTGAAATAAACGTTTTTATAGTGAAAAAGGGGACTTATTTATTTTTATTGTTTCATAAAAAAACTAATTCCTAATGTTCTCATCTCTTATAACTGCTAGAAATCGAAGGTTGTCAAATACTCTAAAATTTTGGGCAAATACTCCCTCGATAATTTCGAATCCTAAGCGGCCACCCACCTACCCATCCATCCTGACTGCGTTGCTTAACCTAACGATCGAGCGGCACGCGGTGATTCCAATGACTCCAACGATGTTCTTACAACTTATGCTTATAAAATGTATACTTACAGTATTCACAGTTCATTATAACATACCTAGCAAATACATGCGTTGATTCGCCTATCTATTGGGAGTACAAATAAGTCTCCGTTGTTTGACAAAAGATGGCCCCACCAGTAAGTTATGGTTGAAATTGTCAGATGTAAAACGTCACATCGTAAGGTTGGACATCTGGCAACACCATAACCTTGAAATATTAGCGATTTTGTATCAGCATCACATAATTTTTTTCGTTCGAAAATGTCGAGTTTTGAGCCGAATAAGCGTCAAAGCGGGAACTTTTGATTTACTTCTTTAATTTGAAGAAATTTGCAGCTTAGGCACATCGATTGCTTGTAAAAGCATATGGTGAGGCTGCTTTAAGTGAGAGAAGTTGTCGTGAGTGGTTTCAAAAGTTTAAGAACGGTGAGTTTGACGTCGAAGACAAAGAACGTAGCGGAAGGCCGAAAGTGTACGAAGGCGCGGAATTGGAAGTATTATTGGAGGAATATTCGTGCCAAACGCAAGAAGAACTTGTACTTACATTAGGAGTGACTCAACAAGCAATTTCACATCGTTTAAAATCGTTGGGAATGATTCAAAAGCAAAGAAATTGGGTTCCATATGAACTGAAGCCGAGAAACGTTGAACGCCGATTTTGCACATGTGAAATGCTGCTTACCAGGCATAAACGAAAGGGATTTTTGCATCGTATAGTCACTGGTTCGATTAAAATGACTCACCCTGTATGTATATATATATACAGGGTGGGCCATTTTAATCTCCCCACCTGAATTTCTCGTAATCTAAGTCAGATAGAGAAAAATGGTCCAGACAAAAGTAGAAG